ACGACGATCGAGCCTTAGCAGAATGTTATGAAGGCTGGGTAGAGCCCTGGTATAAGATCCCACTGGAGCAGGACCGAGCCTCAGTGGGAGTCAGTGATACGTTGATCTAGCTGTAGTAGGCTTCAGAGTTAGATGGAGCCTCGTCTCCCCGCCCCCTTATGTCGGAACGGCACTGGCGCCGCGCCCGCCCCCCTTCCCCAGCAGCAAGCCCACTTTCTCTTCACCCGCCAGCCAGCGCGCCCCCTCCGCCCCGACCCCCACCACCAAAGTCCAAGCAGAGACGACCACAGCGATCACGGTGATCACCACGACGCGAGCCAGCCAAGACTCTCCGATTGCCAGGAGCAATCCGCCCACGGTCGATAGGATCAGGCCGTCACCACTAGTTCTTTTCATCACCAGGCCAGCTCCTCCTCCCACCAGGGTGCGGGGAGCAGCGAATGGCAAGTGACCGCCGTCAAATCAGGGCTCAGTGCGACGGGGACCCAACGAGCAGACCGTAGGCAATCCTTCACGAAGCACCTCTCAGCGGCCAATTGGCAGCCAGGGGGCGGCCGCAAAACGGTCTCCATCGCTAGCATCAACGCGCTGCATCAGCGGTCCAACCACCTTGCCCGATTTTCCCAGCACTTCCAGGAGCAGCCAGCTCCATTGCTTGACAGATTCCACCGAGCACACGGTGCCTGGGACGGCCTCCAGCAGGCCTTCCAGTCTGCCTGCCGCTTGCCTCGCGGCGTCCCTCCAGAACAGCCTCCAGGCTCCCATTGCTGCTCAACGCGTGGTACACCTGTGCTAGCGCCCCTTCTCCCCCAGTGGGCTCCGCGAACAGCTGGCTGTTGTTCCGTAGCCCTCTTATTGGGCCGCCGCGGGGGACGCTCCAGCGTGGCGCCGCCACTGTCTGGGAGCCGCATCACGCACGCCAAAATGTGTGCACAGCCGGCGTCTCTCTACCCGTGGGCGCGCAGAAGGGGCGAGTCCCGCACTTGTCACCACGTCCCGCCTGTGCTTTCCAGCCGGCGTCCTCCCAGACCGCGCCAGGCGGGAGGGTTTCCCCACCGCCTGCTCCTGTGCGACACTTCCCGCCACACAGGGAGGGTGCGGCGGGCGCTGGCCGCTTTCGCGCCCAGACGGACATCCCGCCCGAGCTGTTGCGCTCTGTTTCCCTTCCTCTCTCTCTCTCTCTCTCTCTCTCTCTCTCTCTCTCTTTCTCTCCTCCTCTTCCTCCTCCTCCTCCCATCCCTCCCTCATCATCATCATCATCATCATCATCATCATCATCATCAGCAGCAGCAGCAGCAGCATCATCATCATCCTCATCAGTATCCTGATCATCCCCCTCCTGCTCCCCCTCCTGACCCTTTCCCCCCCCCGGACATCACGGTCCTCCAGGTGCCATCTCACTTGGAGGCACAGGAGGTTTGCAGTCGAGGGCTCCCGAGCTGGCTGATCGAAGGCAACGTTGCAGTAGATCGGCTGGCAGGGACGGCTGCAAAACAGGTGCGTGTCGCGGCCCACGAGAGGGCTTGTTGTTAAAGGCAGAGCACAAAAAGATGTTGGTCAGACGCAGGTTGCTGCGAGTAGCCTTGCTCAACATTCGTGCTGAACAGGGAAGGAAGACGGTGGCTGCGCAGGAGAGAGCGCAGCAGAGGGGCCACGTTGCGCCTGAAGTACCTCCCCCTCCACCCCCTCCACCTTTGCGGCCGCCTGCGCCGAGGACTGTTGCACGCTTCGCGACTGGTCACGTCCTGGTTGAGTCAGGGAAAAAATGTGAGCGTTCTAGGGGTTCGGCCACCACCGCATCGTTGACTCAGTTTCTCCAGAACCCGTGCCATGACCTTGAGAACGTTGACGCTAGAGTGTCTAGGGTTAGTGAAGGTAGTCGTCTTCACATAGCTGGAGGTTGGGCCCACCCCTCGCATGCCCTAACTTTCCACCACGGTTTGTGCCTGTGGTTCTGCGAAGTCCGCGGGTTCTTCGGGCAAGCCCAACTAAGAGGCTTGGCGGATGAGTGTAAGCTCGCCGCCTCCAAGATTCGTAAGGAGTACCTCGACAGGCTCGCAAGGGACCTCCACCCGAAGGCCAAGGAGCTTAGGGGTGTCGATGCTCGAGCAAGGGCTTGAGCGGAGGATCTTTAATCATTTCGCTGCGCGAAGGCTGTAATTCTTGCAATTCCTCCTCCCCTTCCTCTTCCTCTTCCTCTTCCTCCTCGTCTTCCTCCTCCTCCTCTTCCTCCCCATCCTCCCCTTCCCCATCTTCATCCCCCTCCTCCTCATCATCATCCTCCTCCACAATAACTCAATATGAATACTACTCCCCCTCTTCCCCTGATGACGGCTTGGGAGTATTCGACCCCCCCCCGCGTACTGTTACCTAACAGCTTGTGCTGATAGGTTTCTAGTAGGGTCAAAAGAGAGCATCATGACACTCCAGGGGGGTCCGGGCGGAAGCCGGCAGAAACCGGGAGAATCTGGCGGAGCTCATTCCGTGCGTGCAGGTACGCACGGGAGCCACCTCGGCGCCATCGGAGGTGCGTTCCGTGCGTGCAGACACGCACGGGAGCCACCTCGGCGCCATCGGAGGTGCGTTCCGTGCGTGCAGGTACGCACGGGAGCCACCTCGGCGCCATCGGAGGTGCGTTCCGTGCGTGCAGGTACGCACGGGAACCACCTCGGCGCCATCGGAGAAGCGTTCCGTGCGCGCAGGTACGCACGCGAGCCACCTCGGCGCCATCGGAGGTGAGTTCCGTGGGTGCAGGTACGCACGGGAGCCACCTCGGCGCCATCGGAGGTGCGGCTGAGGCTGAGGCAGGCTGAGGCTGAGGCTGAGGCTGAGGCTGATGCAGGCTGAGGCTGATGCAGGCTGTGTCTCGTTCGAAATTAAATCCACTGATACTCGTGTCTCGTTTGGGGCGGAAACCATCGATAGCAGCGTCTCGTTTGCACCTACACCCCTGCATAGCAGCGTCTCGTTTGGAATGAGCACAAAAAGAATGTGCTGTCTCGTTGATAGTAGTGCCTCCTTTGCAGACACGTCCACTATTCATCGCAGCGTTTCGCTTCCAGTCAAATCCGAACATGAATCTAAAGAAGAATGCTTCCATATATGCTCATACACATGGCTGTTAGTTTGCTTTGATATTTTTTGTGCACACAGGTTTCCTCGGAGTTGGGTTTTCGCTTGCATTTGTTCCCAAAGTGCTGCTCTCACTGAGGCGCCGGCCTCATTTTCGGGCCCCGCTCGTTCCGAATCGTGATCCCGCCGCTGGCATCATTTCCGCCGGCGCCCAGGCTGCACGCCCGAGCCGGCGCCCGGGCGGGCGCTCGGGCTGGGTCCGGAGCCGGTTCCAGCCACCGCCGGAAAATCGAGTTCCGAGGCGGCGCCGAAAAAAGGCCATTCTAATACACATTTCTCTTTTGAAAATGGTGAAGTTCTGCTTCCAGCGCCCAGGAGGCCTCCCGGGCCGATTCCGACGCCCGGGCCGGCGCCCGAGCCGGCGCCCGGGCCGGACGCCCGAGCCGGCGCCCGGGCCGGCGCCCGGACAGGGTCCGGAGCCGGTTCTGGCCGGGGCCAGAAAATCGAGTTCCGAGGCGGCGCCGAAAAAAGGCCATTCCAATACACAGTTTTCTTTTTTTTGAAAATGCTGAATTTCTGCTTCTGGCGCCCGGGAAGCCTCCTGGGCCAATTCCGGCGTGCTTCCGCTCGTTCCGAATCGTGTTCCCGCTGCAGCGCTGGCCTCATTTCCGCGCTTCCGCTCGTTTCGACTCGTGCTCCCGCTGCAGCGGCCATGCCCGTGCCATGCCACGGCATGCAATGCAATGCTAGGTGGATACTACGCTTCGCGGTGCTCTTCTACGCCATGCCACGCCGTGCTCTACAATGCATCGCGTACCCTTTCGGGATCATTGCCCTGCTCGACATCCGATTGTGCGAGTAGAGAGGGGATATGCGCCATGGTAAGGGATGGGAGGAAGGGGTAGGATGTCAGATATGACGCGAGCGCACCTAGCTTGTCCTCCTCCCCTCCTCCTCTTCCTCCCTCTGCTTTTGCGCCGTACGGTGCTGGAGCGCGCAGCGGCTTGGCACCATCGCATTGCAGGGAGCAGCGGCGTGGAAACTTTGTGGCCCATGACCTCCAATAAGGTGCGATTCCACGACTCTGGCTCTCGCACGCCCTAAACGTTCTACAGTTGGAGCCCGTGCCAAGAAACACTCTGCTTGCCTCCAGGGTGCTCTAGGTTTTTTGGGTTTCGAAGGTTTTGCTGTGGAAAGCGGGACGCTCCCACACCAAAATTTCATGAACGTCTTGGGGTCTCAGGGTTGGATTTTTTGTGGAACGTTTCTTGTGGTCGAGTTCCTACTGTACTTCAAGGTGTCTGGAAATGTAAAACAGAGTCAAGCATCAGCGATTCAGCGAATGCTGCTCTTGGCTTATCGCTTGAATAGGCGACCAAGCTGCAAACCGCATGGAGGCACAGGAGAGAGCGGAGAAGGAGGACGGCTTGGGAGGACGTTTACACAGGTTACGGTGGGGACAGGTGGAGCTCCAGAACGATGAGCCCCGAGACGCGGAACAATGGTGAGGAGAAGCCCATTGATTCGAAAATTCCCTTACCAGTGCCTGCACGAAGGAGTTCTAATTTCGCCTGTAGGTACGCCGATGGTTTTTCCTCAGGCTGTCGCCCAGTAGCTGCCCCGAGCGCTGGCTGGCGTTTCTGGACTTTTACTCGGGGTGCACCCGTGGCTACCTCGTGAGAAAGACAGCGAGACAGAGAGAGAGAGAGGAGGAGGAGGAGGAGGAGGAGGAGGAGGAGGAGGAGGAGGAGGAGGAGGAGGAGGACGAGGAGGAGGAGGAGGAGGAGGAGGAGGAAGAGGAGGAAGAGGAGGAGGAGGAGGAGGAGGAGGAGGAGGAGGAGGAGGGGAAGGCGGCAGGCGGCCGTTCATTGGAGGATCGCTTTGGCGTGTCCCCCCCTGTGCCCCGCCGGCGGCCTTTCCTTCCGCAGGTCAAGCAGCTCGGATTGAGCCTGCTGATCTTCGGCTCCAGCGTGATCGTCACCGAGGAGCCGGGGGTCGGCAGGGAGGGAGGGAGGGAGGGAGGGAGAGGAGGAAGAGAGGGGGAGTGCCCCGACACCCGCAGGCAATGTGACACGCAGGTCGGCGGCGCCGAGATCCCCGAGCCATTTACGGAGCCTCACGTGTTCTCCCCCCAGAGGGAGGACCAGGCAGATGAAGGCTTCATCATGAAGCAGGGCCACCGAACCACCTAAGACCAAACGCCTCAGCCGGGTCGAGCTTGGACTTTCGATCAAAATCCGGGCCCCAGGAGCACCCCGTGCGAATTCAGTGAGGAGGGGAGAGAGTGAGCGGAGCGGGAGGAGGAGGGCGGGGAGGAGGGACAGGGAAGGGCAGGAGGAGGAGGGAGGGAGGGAGGGCGACATTGGAGGCGGGGGTATAGGGGAAGCAGCAACAGAAGGAAGAGGAGGAAGCGGAGAAGGGTTGGAGAAAGAGGAGATGGAAGAAGAGGAGGAGCATGATATAAGTGAATGCGACGATGATGACCAGTGCACGCTCACACTGATGCGCAGACCTGTCCCCCAGAGGTGGGGGGGGGGGAGGAGGAGGGGCGAGAGCGGGAGAGCCAGGAGGAGGACAAGCAGCAGCAGCAGGAGCAGCAGCATCGGGAGCAAGAGGAGAAAGAGGGAGGAGAGGGCGGAGGCAGGCCTCTCCGCATCGCGTCACTCTCCTCCTCTTCTTCCACCTCGGCCCCCCCCCTTAATCCCGGGCGAGAGCACGATATCGAAAACGTCCCGCCCTCCGTCGGGGGCAGAAAAGAGGGGGGTGATGACTAGGGGGGGGTGAATATCATGACGTGGGCCATGATATTTCCCCAGATTTCATGGCGCCTCTTCTTACTTCAGTACGTCTCTGGCCCCGCCGCTGGGCCGCGCACATGCCGCCGGTCATGATTTGCACCCCCTCCTCTTGGACACCCCCCTCTTGGCCGCTCCCGACTCCGTGTGACTCACTGTTGGAGACTCGAAGCAGCGTGAACCTGGAACGTCAGGAGCTCCCAGGCGAGAGCGAGAGCTCGAAAGCGGACCGCACACATCCGAGCAGATGCTGCAGAGCTGCAGTTGCCCAGCCGCAATGTGGAAGAAAATCGATGGCCGGATTTTGAAAACGAGCCGCCCCTTGTCTTCCCGCACACTGGGCAACTCAAGCTTTCGGATCCTGAAACCGTGGATAGGATTCGGCTCAACGCACGAACCGCCATGCTGGCACTTCTGGCAATGCGGCGATGTAGAGTTGTTTATGTGAGAAGCGGTTGCGAAGTGAGGGAGCAGGAAGGAGAAGGAGGGAGAATAAAACGGAGGGAGGTGACGGAGGAAGTGTTCGAGGGCCAGGAGGAATCGGAGGAGGAAGGAGGAAGAGGAGCAGAAGAAGGAATGAGTAGGAGGTGGAGGGGGGAGGGGGAAGTGAGCAAGAGATCGGGAAAGCCTCGATCGGCTCGGAATCGTGCGCATACCATTGCTTGGGGCAACGATCAACTCGACTGCTCGGCTCGATGGGTTCACTCGTCATCCTCATTATTGCATAGCCCTCGTGCTTGTCCTCCTCCTCTCCTCCTCGATCCTTGTTCATTAAATCAGTAACTTCTTTTCGTCTTACCACCAGGAGTGTCCGTTGGGTGGGCAGGGAGACTCGCCCGAGATTTCCTCACTACCTGTGGCCCTGAAGCTTGATAAGCTTGCAAGTTGCATGGGTGGAGGGCGTGTGGTGGCTTTCAAAATTAGACCATCCCTTAAGCGCCACACCTATTTGCTGTAGAGTCTTGCAGCAGCTGTAAGGGTTGAGGGCGGGACGTCTTCAAAATTGTACTCGCGTGAGCTCTGCACACATTCGTCTTGAATGTGTGCAACAGCTGCCAGGATGGAGGGTGGCTCCTTTTCAAAATGGTCCTCTCGCCTCAGCGCCTTGCACAGTCCTTGCAAAAGCTGGCAACAGGTACAAGGATGGAGGATGGTTTCTTTTCAACAAGCAGCTCCTGCTTGAGACTTACACTGAATGACAAGAAACGTGAGCATATGTAACAGCTGCATTGATGGATGGTGTTTTGCGTTTGAGATAAGTTCATGACTGGTAGTGTAAACTTGTGCAAGAGGTACACAGATCCTCCTCCCTCCTCATCCCCCCTCTTCTTTGTGAATTACTCTTCCACGTCACATCCCTAGACGTGTCGGTAGGGCGGGCTGGGCGTTTCGCCTGAGGATAGATAGCGAGGATGCTTGGAAGGGGTGGTGGGGGCGTCTAACCTGGGGGAAGGGGGGCCTGAATTACAAGGGGGGGGGGTCGCACCGCTCGGGGGGGTCATCCAGGGGGGGGGTTCGAACCGGAGAGGGGGGGGTCCTCCACTGAATTGCAAGGGAGGGGGTTCGAACCAGGGGTGGGGGCCCCACAACCGACGACGGCGAGCGCCAGCGCCGGCGGCGGCGCCATCGGGAAGCGACGAAAAACGACAACAACAACGATGACGACGACGACGACGACGACGACGACGACGACGACGACGACGACGACGACCACGACGACGACGACGACGATCGAGTAGTAGGATGCCAAGGTTTGATCGAGCCCTAATGAGACTCTACAGATCCATTGGAGCTTGATCGAGCCGTAGTAGGATTCAATTAGATCTTGATCTGCCTGCATTAGGTGTCTACCAGAGCTGGATCGAGTCTTATTACGATTCGACTAGAGCTGGATCCACGAATGGTGGGCTTCTTTTAGTATTGGATCGAGCCCAGCTTGGATGCTACTACATTTGGGTCCAGCTATAACCGAATTCTATCAGATCTTGATCGAGTCTTAGTAGAATCCAAGTGGGGCTCGATCCAGTAGGATTCTATTTCGATTGGACCGAGCCAGACTACGATGCTGTTTAAGTTGATTCTAGCTGTGATAGGATTATCTTGAATCCTTTTTCGAGCACTCATCGGAGGGGGAGGGAGCGGTTCGACCTCCTCCCCCCGCCTTTGCACAGGGGGGGGAGGAGGGTTTCGAACCCCCCCCCTCACCTTGGAGGGGGGGATGGGGGGCCGCATGTTAGAGAGGCCGATGCCCAGGGGTGGGGTGGGGCGGGGGGGGGTCCCCAGGCGCTGTCAATGTGTTGGGGGGGATGGGGGGGCGGCGGTTCCGACGTGTTGAATGAATTATTTTCCCAAGGCAAGCGTCCAAGAAACGCGTTTTTGTCCGCCCGATACATCCTCACCATTTATGGTTCTGAAGCTTCAAACTCGCAACAGCTTCAAGCATGGAGGGCGGGCGGTTTCCAAAACGTGGTTTTCGCCTCAGCGCCGCGTACACATGTTTTTTTGTTAAGTGTGCAACAGTGTCACGGATGGAAGGCGGGTGTTCCTCAGAATGTGGTTCTCGCTCTAGCCTCGCGCACAGTCGTTCTAAAGAATACAACACGTTCAAAAATGGAGGGCGGTTCCTGCTCAAGATGCGGTTCTCGCCTGAGCGCCGCGCATATGCGTTGTACGCAGATTTCTGAGGAACGGTGTTCTGGCACGGTTCAGGGCTGTCAGAACGTTACAACCACGTTGATTCGTGGCGATGAAATCCGAGGAATGGTGTTTTGGCACGATTGAGGATTATCAGAAATTATCAAACGGTTGTCATCCAATCGTGTATTTCCCGTAATGGAAGTAGTTCGTTGCAGGGGCCTATGAATAGAGAGAATGCGAAGGGAGGGTTTATTGCAACATCGCTAATACGTCTTGGACTTAAACTGGTTCTCCGTCCTCCTCCTCCTCCTCCTCCTCCTCCTCCTCCTCGTCCTCCTCCAGCATCCTCCCTCTTGACATTTGCACCCAATGATTATCATCCTGCTCCTTGGTTCACTCCCCCTCCTCCTCATCCTTCTCCTTCTCCTCCTCTTTATCCTGCTCCTCCTCCTCATCCTCATCCTTCTCCTCCTCCTCCGTCTTGGCACCTTCCTCCTCTTCCTCCACCAGTATCCTCCATCCTCCTCCACCTCTATCCTCCCTCTTCCTCTTCCTCTTCTTACCCCCAGCATCCCTCCCCCCTCATCCTCTCATTCCCCCCCTACTCCTGCTCAGCTTCGAGCGCACACGGCTTGATGTTTTATCATTTTCTTTTCCCACTCTGCTCAGCATCAGGAACTTGGGCACTTTAGGGGCTTGCGATTGAAGAGGAAGAGGAGGAGGAAAACGGAGGAAGGGGAGGAGGAGGAGGAGGAGGAGGAGGAGGAGGAGGAGGAGCCCAAGAAGTAGGCAGAGGATGAAGAGAACAAAGACAGGGACCGATTGCGCGGACAGATTGCGCAGACGACTCGAGTGGTGTGCGATCAAGGGGAGCCGGTGGGGAGCCCCCGCTCGTGCAGCTGCTCACCACGGTTTCTCGAGAAGCATGCTGGCGAAGTGGGCGTGCAACGGACCGAACTCTACATTTGGCGTCCTTCGATCGACACCCAGGCATCCTCTTCCCAGCCCCGCGGAGCGGGTCTGTCACCAGATTACGCTGGGATACACCCCAGCATGGCCAGCCTGGGCAGGCGCTGGATGTGTAGGTGGCCGCGCGCACCTCCAGCGCTCGGCGGCTCCGGCATGGCTAGGCACGCTGGCCATGCGCTCCGCCGCCTCGCCGCCTGGCCACCGCGTGTCCTCGGTATCGTTTAACCAGTCGCCATCCCCATCCCCTTCGAGACCCCCAGCAGATTACCACCCCAGTGGGGGATACACCCCTCGAAACCCGAAGGGAACGACCTATACCCCCATCTAGGGGGGCAAATCGGCCAGTGGGGCCCAGGCCACGCAGCGGGGGGTGGGGATCGGTTAAACGATACTCATGTTCCGCCTATGGGTCCATCCCCAGACATGCGGTGTCTTGATTGTTTGAAGACGCGGTGCCCGAAGTTCCGACCCTTCCCCCCAGGGCAAGTTTTTTCAACCTGAGTCTTCTGTTGACGGTCCCGAGGCCCGGCGAGGGCCCACGGGGGCCAAGAACGACCAAGGCCTTTTCCGTCGTGATTGTTGCCACTTTGCGCATGTTCGGGGCCGTGTATGCCCCCAGCTTGCTGGCAGCATCCTTATGCCCGCTCGCCCTTACGGTCAAGACGCTGCAGACGCTGTAATAAGGACCACGTTGGGTTCAGGAAGGGCTCCAGTTTTCGGGCCGCTCCCTAGATCTGGCTCGGTGAACTCATTCGTGGCCGAGGCTAGCCGTGGCCAGCGAGGCCCCCCTGCTCCTTGCTTGGTGCTCCCTGTGGTCCAGGCCTCCTGGATGGGGTCGGAGTGGATGGCATCGCATCGCCGATGCACCGCCGACGCGGCTCGATGTGGAGTCCGATTTGCTTCACGTCGACGTTGCCGGTGCATCGCCGATGCATCGCCGACGCACCGGCGAAGCATCGCCGATGCCTCGCCGACGCATCGGCGATACATCGGCGACGGAGGAGGGAGGGGCCGCGGGAGGAGTGAACGCGGGGCGCTGTCTCTCCGAAACGAGGACCCAACACCACAGGATGGTTGGGAAGAGCTGGAGCCCCGCCCGAACGTTCCGCGGCATCTCTCGAGCCAGCTGTTCGGGCCCCAGCTAGGAGGCCTCTATATGACAGCACGGTGGCCGTGCTGCCAGGTGTCCGATGGCATCTGTCAGACCGGCCCGCAGGTGCAGCGCCGCGGGCTGATCAGCCTCTGGAACGCGGCGAACCCGTACGCGAAGGCGGCGCCCCGCGGCTGCGCCCCGCGGCCGCAGCGTGCCTCCCCGGCCCTCCTGGGGCTCCTCCACAGACCTGCTCTTAGGTCGGGCCTGTCCCCCTACAAGTTCAAAATAATCAAAAAATAGTCTGGGGACGATTTTTGGAGTATTTTTTTACCTTTTTGGTGCATGTCGGGGGTATTTTTAATCTTTCGTCGAAAATCCCCCTGTAGGGAGACGGGCCCGACTTAAACCTGCTCGCACCGTGAGAACCGACTACACGTAAGAGTGACCCTTCGCCAGAGGTGACCTTTGTTGCGGGCCCCTTGGGATCCCCCGATCGCCGAGCGCGATGCGAGAGCAGCTTCATGCGCGCCTGTGTTTGGTCCCCCCGCGGCCGGCAGAAAGCTGCGCACCAGAGGTCACTCTTAACCCAGGATCACTATTGCGTGTAGCCGAGATAAAACACAGCGGAAGGTTTGTGGCCGTTTTGGGTTTCTGGGGGCCTTCGCTGGGCCCCGGGACCGTCCAAAAAGGGCTCGGGATGAAAAATTGGCCTGCGGGGAACCGTCGGGACGTCTGGGACCGCGCAGTGGAAAATCAGGGCATCGCACTTTTGGGTTGGCCGCATGGTTCCCATTCTCTCCTCGGGCTCTTGGCGCGAGATTTGGTCCTGACTCTGCGAGGGACTCCAACTCATGCGCTCTGGGGTCACAGCAGATCCGCACGGCATCGGCGTCTCGTGATTTTTCTCCGACGCGTCAGCCCGTCACTCGGGCCCTCGGCAGCGGATGTAGATTCTCGTCTGCAATGAAGCGAACAAACAAACAAGCAAGCAAATTGTTTTGATCCGCGGGTCGAGAGCGCACCTCTTCCGGTCGAAGCTAAGCGGGCCGCACAGCTTTAATTAACAGAGGAAGGAAAAAAGAAGGCGGGGCCTCACGTCAAGGCCAAGAGAGGGCAAAGCCCCAGGATCAGGCGGTGCCGAAACAAGCGAGCAAACAAACAAATAACCAATCCTCTCTTCCTCCTCCCTGCGCACGGGGGGAGGATCCGAAACGCCCGTGCTCGGCGTGGAGAGGGCCACCCGCGCAGCGGAGCACGGTGCCAAGCCACTCGTACGACGCCGGTGGAGTTTCCTCCTCCTCCTTGTAATTTCCTCCTCGTCCTCCTCCTCCTCCTCCTCCTCCTCCTCCTCCTCCTCCTCCTCCTCCTCCCCCTCCTCCTCCTCCTCCTCCTCCTCCTCCTCCTCCTCCTCCTCCTCCTCCTCCTCCTCCTCCTCCTCCTCCTCCTCCCCCTCCCTTTCCTTGCAGCCTCCCCCAAATCCGAGCCTCCTCTCCCCCATTTCCTCCTCCGCCTCCTCCGCCTCCCATCATCTGCAGCATCATCATCGTCATCGCTACCCCCCCTCATGATCACTAGAGAGCCGAGCCGTTCGCCCGTGCCGCTTTGCTTCCTCAGCGCACACCCCCGGCAGCAGAAGGCCGGCGGCGAACCCGAAAAAAACTACAGCACGAGAAAGCCATTCACCCGTGCCGCTTCTCTTCCTCAGCGCACCACCCCGGCCACAGAGGGCCGGTGGGGCAAACCCGCAAAAAAAAAATCGCACAGTCATGGAGGGAGGAGGAGGAGGAGGAGGAGGAGGAGGAGGAGGAGGAGGAGGAGGAGGAGGAGGAGAGCACCGAGTCGGTCGTGGAGGTCGGGGCGTTGGACCGCCGAAGCCCCCAGGGCCCACTGGCGGGCCCAGGCCGCGCCCACGGCCCCCCCGCCTCTCGCCGCGCGCACGCCGTGCCCCAGGGAGGAGGCGGCGGGGGCGCCACGGCAGGGTCGCGGCGTGCCGACCGGTGGCGACCCCGCCGTGGGCGCTCAAGGTCGAGCGCCGCCGGTGTGGCTGAGAATCGGCACACGTGGAACGATCGGGCGCGCGGAGAGCCGCCGATCGTTCGAGGTTGAAGGATCCCCGCGGAGTCAGAGGCCAACGCCGGTGGCAGCCACGCTACGAGCCTGCCACACCACGAGGGAGTGCGGCGGGGCGATGCGCGACGAGATTTGAATCAGACGGCCGCGGCGGCGCCCACACGACCTGGCCATTCCCACTGCGAGGCCTCAGGCTCGCAACCTGCGGCGCCAACGCCTGCCCAGCGCACAGCCACCGTGTTCCCACATCTCGCTCTCGGCACATCACGTGCGTTCCTCCCTGCGTCTGCCCCCGCACGCGCAGCCAGCAGCAGCGGCGCGAGCGCCACCGCTGCTGGCATCTCGCCGCTGGCGGCCCCGCGCCAGGCATTGCGCGGCATCCGGCGAACAGCCAGGGTGAGGCACGGAGATTCGGGGAAACGTAAGACTCGAGTAAGCTGGAACTCGGGTTCGCCGCCGTTCTTTGACGAGCGCGTCCTGGATCTTGACGGTCCAGTCTTCGTTGGATGTCTGCAGCGGGGGCTCGCGTCAGATTTCGGATTGGGCCTCGTCGTTGTTATGGTGGCCCCGTCAGGCCAACCCGAGTCCCCCGCATCCGAGTCTTACTCAGGAGGGGAAAAAACACACAGACACAATGAATCGTCGATTTCCCAGAAAATATGGGAAACCATGGGAAGCGGGGGGGAAGACAAAAACCCAGAAAATATGGGAAAATATGGGGAATAATTTGATTTGTGTGTATTTATTTGTGTGTCTTGGGGCCCCTTCACTTACGTCTCCCCGAGAGATGGGATGAGCTGCTCTGCGAGGGGCACCGTTAGAGGCTGGGCGGCGTCGGAGAGGAGGGCTGGAGTGAGCCCGCGGCCCGGCCTCGCTCGTCGAGCGCGGACGGCGCCCGAGGGACGGGGAGCCCCTTCTCGTCTGCTCCTGCGCTTCTCTCTCGGCCCGCTCAGCGGCGATGACCGCCCGGGGGGGGGGGAGGGGGCGGGCTGCGCCTGGCAGGCCCCGAAGCCACCCGCAGTCAGAAGGAGGAGCAGGAGGAAGAGAAGAAGGAGAACGGTCGAAGAGGAGCAGGAGGAGGAGGAGGATCGCAGAGGAGGGGGGGCGAGGAGGAGGAGGAGGAGGAGGAGGAGCCCTCCCCCTCCGCCGCGGCCCGCGAGAGGTCCGGGAGGGCGACAGGGTCGTGGAGGTCAACGGCACGAAGTGGGACGGCAGCCCGACGTCCGCCTTCAAGCTGCTGGACCTGATCCACAAGACGGCGACCGTGGACATGGCGGCGCGGGCACGCGGCGGCGGAGGAGGGGAACCAGCTACTAGATGGTTCGATTAGTTGATTCGCCCCTATACCCAAGTGTGACGAACGATTTGCACGTCAGTATCGCTACGAGCCTCCATCAGAGTTTCCCCTGAGTTTGCCCTTCTCAGGGCGGCTGCACAGGAGGAGGCCCGAGGTTTTCGGGCGTCCTCGTCGGTGCTCGGCTGCGTTCCAGCCCCCGGGGTGCCCTCCAGTGATCAGCTGCGCCTCGCCGAGGGCTCTCCGGAGGTGCCCGGATCTCGCCCCGAGCGGCCGCCACTGAGCCGAGCAGCGGCACGGAGGGCGGAAGCAGTCAGAGGAGGACAAGGCACAGACACCGCCACCACTGCTTCGTGTTCGCCTTTGTCGTTCGCCTGGGAGGCCCTCGTCGCCACGGCTGGGTTCGCCTCGAAATCTTGGTCCGAACGCACCCGGGGCAGGTCTTGGGAGCAGCGGTAGCAGGACATGTCCGGGCGCCTTCAGGACGACTGCGCGGGGGGATCAAAGGAACCCCAGCACCATCAGCGAAAGCTGACACCAACACCGACGACCTTTGGGAGTCAGAGACCAGATCTGAAAAGGGCACCCGCCCCAAAACTTGTCGCCCAAAACGTTCGGAGAATGTTTCGGGCGGACCTCATCAGCGAGTTGTGGCGATGGTGGCGCCAAATCTGGCTGCGCAGTCACCCGTTCTCCACTCTCCAAGGGGCGGGTGCAGTCCTCCTCCTCCTCCTCCTCCTCCTCCTCCTCCCCCTCCTCCTCCTCCTCCTCCTCCTCCTCCTCCTCCGTTCCTCCCCACCCGGCAGGCTGTGGCTCTCAGATTTAAGGGAAAAGGCTCCCGACCCGCCTGGCAGAGCCCTGCGTGCCGCGGCCGCCAGGCCCCAAGTGTGTGTTGGTGTTCCCTGGGTATCTCGCCTCGCGTCTTCGACGAGTGACGACTGCATGCCGCGGACGTCAGACCCAAAGCGTGATGGTGTTCGTTGGGTATCCCGCCGGGCGTTCCTGGGTGGGGATCGTGCGGAACACCATTCAGCCCGAACAAAAAACGTCGATGTTTTTGTTTGACACCCGAACACGCTTCCCTCCCTCCCCCCCCACCTCACTCCAGCGTGCCTGGAGGTGGTCGAGTCGCTCGCCGCGAGCGACGTGGACGAGAAGTCCGCGGACTCGGTGAAAGTGGCCAGCTGAGACGTCGGCCCTGGGCCAGCGCTCTGGGGGGGCAGCCAGGGACCGAGACGCCCAGAGCGGGGACGATGCGAGACGGAGGAAGGGGAGAAGGGAAGGGGAGAGAGAGGGGAGGAGGGAGGTGGGAGGAGGAGGAGGAGGAGGAGGAGGAGGAGGAGGAGGAGGAGGAGGGGGCTGGGAAGAGGAGGAGGAGAGAGTAAGAGGAGGAGTAAGAGGAGGAGGAGGAGGAGGAGGAGGAGGAGGAGGAGGAGGAGGAGGGGTATGAAGGAGGGGGGCGAAATGAGGGAGGAGGAGGAGGAGGAGGAGGAGGAGGAGGAGGAGGAGGAGGAGGAGGAAAGCTCCGGCCCAAGTTTCCGCGCCCACAGGGCACAGGGCTGGGCCAGGCCTGACCTCAGTGCGGCCGCGCGGCCCGCGGGCGCTGCCGCAGCAGCGGGCGCCCGTTGCGCTGTGGTTGCGCGATGGTCGCACGGATATTTCTTTCGGCCGTTGGCCGAGACCCCTCAGCGGTGCAGCGCGGAGGTTGGGCCACAGTCAACGCGCATAGTCAGGACGCGCGCCTTTTCTAGGGTACCCTTGTGTCCTTGCCTCTGCGGCCCGTCCTTTGCTGTTTCCCCTGGCCAGCCTCTCGGGCCGCCGCCCAACAAATCCCGAACTCGGCCTCCAAGGGTCTCGCGTCCTTACCACCCGTCCTTACTATACGTTTCCACTGTATGTTGCAAGGGTGGGCCTAGGTGCTTCTCTTGAGAACCTCCAACCTGACGCATCTGTTCGACTCTACTCTAGTTCAATTCCAGTTCGACTCTAGTTCAATTCCAGTTCGACTCAGGCTCGACTCAAGTCCGACTCCAGCCGACGGACGTTCGACTCGGCTTCGACGCACGAGTGGAGCGAGTGACTCTGGGAAGGTCCCCAGAATGAGCACCTAAGTGGGCATCTGCGTGCAGGTCAACGACGCAGCCTTGTGTTCACGCGCTTCGAAGCAGGTGGTGGTGGACAAGAAGGAGGAGACGCCCGAGGCTGAGGTCAAGGACCCAACAAAGGACAAGCTCAAGGCCCAGGGGAGCATCACGATGGTAATCGAGGATAAGGTAGGGTCGCCGAACTTCCGGGTGGCGATCGTCAACCTGGCGTCCGACTCGCACGGCAGCGACGGCAGCCTCGATGCGAGGGAGGCCGAGAAGGCAGAGGATCACGAGGATGTGTTCGTGAGTTTCGACGCCTGCGGCGTGGAGACGACGAACGGCGAGCCCGATGTCGAGGCCGATGTCGGCGATGGTCGCAGCGATGTTCGAGATGATGATGATGATGATGATGATGATGATGATGATGATGATGATGATGATGATGATGATGATGATGATGATGATGATGATGATGATGATGATGATGATGATGATGATGATGATGATGTGATGATGATGATGATGATGGATGATGTGATGATGATGATGATGATGATGATGATGATGGTGATGGTGATGGTGATGGTGATGGTGATGGTGATGGTGATGTGATGATGGTGATGGTGATGGTGATGGTGATCGTGATGGTGATGGTGATGGTGATGGTAATGGTGATGGTGGTGATGATGATGATGATGAGGATGGGGGTGGTGGTGATGGTGAATGTGATGGTGATGGTGATGGTGATGGTGATGGTGATGATGATGCTGATGATGATGATGATGCTGGTGATCGTGGTGGTGGTGATGATGATGGTGGTGGTGGTGAAGATGGTGGTGATGCTGATGATGCTGATAATGATGATGGGTGTGATGACGATGATGATGATGATGATGATGATGATGATGGTGATGGTGATGGTGATGGTGATGGTGCTGATGATGATAACGAGGATGAGGATGAAGATAAGAATAAGGATGATGATGACGATGATGATGACGATGATGGTGATGCTGATGGTGATGATGAGTATGATGCTGATGATGATGCTGGTGATGGTGATGATGACGATGATGGTGATGATGTTTGCGATGATGATGAGGATGACGATGCTGATTGTGCTGATGCTAATGGTGATGATGATGGTGATGATGATGGGGTTGATGATGATGGTGATGATGATGATGATGATGATGACAATGGTGATGGTTATGATGATTAGGATGAGGATGACGATAAGGATGATGATGACGATGATGATGATGATGGCGATGCTGACGACGATGACGATGATGGTGATGGTGACGATGCTGACGTGATGGTGATTGTGATAATGACGATGATGGTGTTGGTGATGGTGATGATGATGGTGATGATGATGAGGATGACGATGCTGATGATGATGATGATGATGATGATGATGATGATGATGCGGATGCGGATGCTGATGCTAATCGTGACGATGATGATTGTGATGATGGGGATCATGACGATGATGATGATGATGATATGATGATGATTATGATGGTGATGATGATGATGATGATGATGATGATGATGATGATGGTAATGGGGATGAGGATGAGGATGAGGATGAGGATGAGGATGATGAAGATGATGATGATGATGATGCTGATGCGGATGTTGATGCGGATGCTAATGATGATGCTGATGATAATGATGCTGATGATGCTGATGATGATGATGATCCCGCGAGGGTCGCCGCCGAATCGCAGTCGCCCACCGCTCGAAACTACATTACCTCGGGGTGCCTCTGCCAGGCGACCGCGATCGGTCGCGGAGTGGGCGAGGCGGGCCGAGCGCGCCCTGGGCTCTCCACCCTTCGTGGGGTGTGAGCCCTCGTCTTCCTTCTCTGCAAACATTCCTTGACGCGTTCCGAGGGGGGGGGCGCCGAGGCACGGCTCGATGAGGCCCTTCGCTCGAGTGAACGACGTGTGGGCCCCGCACCTCGAGCAAAAAGCCCCCCAACCCCCCCCCGCACGAGACCACGTATGAGACGAGTCGAAGCGCAGGTGCCACCAGGGGGGGCAACTCACTTCTGAGCTCGACCGCCGATCTGGGGTGCCCCCCCTGGAGGTCCCCATACTGCTGCTGCTGCTGCCGCTGCCCTCTGGGGCCTGCTGCTGCTGCACCGGCCGCTGCTCCTCCTCGCTCCTGACATTCTCCCCCCCGCCCGCGGCCGCAGCTCCTGCCACCAGCGCCGCAGTGGGGAAGCCTGGCCTCCCCGCCCGTCCCTCTCTTTCAGAGGTCGGCGGGCGAGCGCAGGCGGGGATCGGGGTCCCTCGGGTCACGCCGCTGGAGGAGATTCTGCCGTGATGGTGGTGATCTGCGAGCTGCTGGAGCAGAAATTCTGTGAGGACGGTGACCTTCGGACAGACGTGGGAGACCTTCACGCCGCCAGATGCGATCCTTATGTGGGTCGTGATCCTCGTGCCGCTAGAGGGGACCCTCGCGCAGGTGATGATTTTTCAGCTGCGGGAGGACATTCTTTCGAGGGCCAACACGGACGTGACCAGGGTCATCCTACGGTCCAGGAGATCGCCAGGAGTAGCGAGGAGATTGATGGACACGACGAGATGCTCTACTTCATCCACTCCGGTGCCACCCTTTTAAAGCTTGCCCGCTCCCCGGTGAGTCGCAGCTCGGCGTGTTCCAGGAGATGTTATAGGAGGTTGCAGGAGGAGGAGCGTTACTACCAAAATCTTTGGACCTGATTTTGTGCACCGTGTAGCTCGGCGAGCGCCAGGCAGATGCCTTTCTTGCTGCGTCGTGCTGAGGCGACAGCCGTCTTAGAATCGCAGAGGATGTGGAGCGAAGGTTGCGTGGAGACAGAGGAGCTTTACGACAAAATCTGCAAAATCTGATTCCGTGTATCGTGTAGCTTGGCGAGCGCCAGGCTTAGTGATTTGGTCTACCACCACTGCAGCGTCAGATCCTGGAGCGGGCACTTAGTTATCCGTCTCCCTCGGCCCGACGCTGCTGCACGCCTTCATTGGAGCGGTGATAGGCCTGGCAGACCCATGCGGCCTAGTTTTGGAGCTGTCTGGCAGGCTGTCGGCAGGCTAGTCCGTGGAGGCCACCGTCCCTCTCCATCTCCCGAGGTGCGCGGGCTGGCCGGGTGGGGATGGATCAGCAGCGTTGGTCTCCCTTTCTGCCCACTGTCTCCTCCTTCCTGCCCGTTTTGTCTGTGTGCTTTCAGCTCCCTCTCAATCGAGCTCTGACGGCGTGTTCGTGGGGAGTTCTCCGCCGTTCGCCTCCCCCCCCCCCAGGGCGCCGCGCGCCTCCGCGGCGCGGCGGCCGAGCGCGCTCCTCCGCGGCACCGGGGGGGTCACCGCGGCGACGCGGCGGCCGCGCTGCCCTGCGTCCCCCCCCCCCCCGTGAAGTCACCCGTCGGAGACAGCGGCCCCGTGGTGGGGCGCACGCACTGCGCCCGCCTCCTCTGCTGCGCTTCGGTTCTGCACTGGTGCTGTGCGCTCCCCCCCTTCGGGCGCTCCGTGCCGTTCCGTGCCTCGTCGCCCCCTGCCCGGCCCTCCCGCGCGCCGCGGGGCGCGGCGCGCGCCCGCTGCTGCCAGGGCGCTCCGCCGGCGCCCTCCGCCCGAGCACGTCCGAGCGCCGCGCCCGTGCAGAGGAGGAGCCCACGCCCCGGCGGGGGTGGACCGAGGACCAAAGGCGCTGCACGGGCATAACTAGTTTCTCGGAGTTCCTCGTGGATATCCTGTATCGGCAGTGGCCTCCCATGAGGACGCCTCCGGCGCCGCCCCCGGCGCGTTCCGCGCGGTCGGGGGCGTCTGGGCTTCCGATTGCGCAGCTGCTCATTTTAAGCCCCTCGTCCGAGCAGCGTCCACCCGCTGGGCCGAGCGGAGAAGGAGCCTACGTTTTGGCAGGGGTGGGGGAGGGGGGAGAGGAGAGGCGAGGGGAGGAGGAGGAGGAGGAGGAGGAGGAGGAGGAGGAGGAGGAGGAGGAGGAGCAGCAGCAGCAGGAGGAGGAGGAGGAGGAGGAGCAGCACGAGGAGGAGGAGGAGGAGGCGGAGGAGGTGCAGGAGGAGGAGCAGCAGGAGGAGCGTGATGAGCAGGGAAGGAGAAAGAGAGGCAGGGGGGGGTCACCCAATCGCGCCCGCGGAGCCCACAGAGATCAGCGCAAACGGAGGGCCGCCCCCGCATCCCCTAGGCTGCACGGAGGCTCCCGGGCCGATCCCCCGAGCGGAGCGGCCCGCGGGCGAGGCCTTCGCCTCCTGCGCGTGCGCTCGGGCACCCGGGCGGCGGCACGAGGCGCGCCACCGCGGCAGGCCCGAGAAGGCCTGCCGCGGCCGCGGCGCGCCCACGAATTCGCGCAGGCCCAGAGCCAGAGCGCTGAGCTTTCCCCCCTCCTCGTCCTCCCTCCCCACCCCTCCCCCTCCTGCTGGCCCCTCCCCCCCTCTGCCTCCCCGGTCCTCCCACCCCACCCCGGCCTCGTGTGCTTCCTCGTCCCCCTCCCTCCTGCTCCTGCTCCTCCTCCTCCCCGCGCTCCCCGCCCCTGACCCATTCCGTCCCCTGGCTCCTCGTCCTCCCCCGCTCGGGGGGCATGCTCGCATGCGCCTCGACGTGCGAGACCAATGTAAAGGCACGGAATTCGAGCGAGCAGCTAGTTTGTCAGAGTAGGTGCATTGTCAAGCGGTGCGGCCGTTGTGCGGCATGCGTTTAATGCAGTCTTCGTTTTCTGTCACGGTTCCATGCTTGCGCCACTCGGCTTGCCGATTGTGCGCCGGGATCCTTGCTGCGGCCGACCATTCGAATCGGCGTCAAACATGATCATGACATGTTGGTTGCTTGTAGCCTGCAAGCAGGCGAAGGCAACACGCATGACTCGTTTATCCAGGTCCATGCCGCAAGTTCCGACACCATGCCAATGCAGCAACTTTGTGTGTGGCGACACTTCGAGAGCTGCCCAGAAAGCCGTAAAGTGTGACTTCAATTCTAGACGCTTCGCATAATCCCACCAGCCCATCCAGAAACGAGGCCCAGACGAGTTGCCCTGACCTGGGATGTGGAGGAGAATGCAGAATAAACAAAGGGCTGGGTAAGACGTCGTACCCCAAGAGGGGGAGGATGAAAGAGGAATCGGAGGAGGAGCAGGAGAAGGACGAGGAGAAGGAAGAGGAGGAGGAGGAAGAGGAGGAGGAGGAAGAGGAGGAGGAGGGAGAGGGGAAGGGGGAGGGGGGAGGAGGAGGGAGGGAGGAGGAGGAGGAGGAGGAGGAGGAGGAACAGGCGGATTAGGAAGAGATGGAGTTTCTTGGAGTCCTCTTGGCCCGTTTTGGGGGTCTCTTGGTAGTCCCGGGGGCCTCTTGAGGCGTCTTGGGTGCCTTGGGGGAGCTTCTTAGAGCCTCTTCGGGGTCTCTTGGAAGCCTTCTGGAGGCATCTGAGGGGTATCGTGGGGGCCTTTGGGGGCCTCCTGGGCACCTCTTGGGGCCTCCTGGGTACCTCTTGGGGCCATCTTGGAGGAGGTCGATCAAAGAAGAGGTGGTCCTTACTGTGGGTTCCCCCCCAGGAGGCCAAAATGTGGCCAAAACGTTAATAAGATCAATGATGTTGGCCTTCTGGCCGAGGCCTCTTGGGTGCCTCTGGGGGACCTCTGGGAGGTTTCTTGGGATCCTCTTGGGGGTATATTGGGGGCCTCTTGGGGCCTCTTGGGGCACCATTGGGAGCCTCGAGGACCATATTGGGGCCACCTTGGAGGAGATCGATCAAAGGAGGTGAGCTCCTCAATTAGGGTCCCCCCCTAAGGAAGCCAAAATGTGGTCAAAGTCTTCGTACAGTCAATGGTGTTGATTTCCTCGTCCAGGCCATCTTGGACGCTTTAACTGGCCGCGACACCCCCCCCCCGTCAGCTCGAAGACGGCTCAGGGCAAGAGACGGCCCCAGAAACCTCAAGGGTTGATTCAAGACCCTCCAGACGGCCACACAACCCTCCAAGATGGTAAGATGGTCCTAACATCCCCAGCTGGCTTCCAAAAAGGGCCGCCAAAGGCCCCAAGGAGCCCTCCAAGAAGCTCCTGGGAATTCCCAAATCCCCAATGCCACATGCTACTGCCATCTGGGCCATGCGGAATTCAGCTGTCCCCTGTTGCGATCACCCTTCCACGTGGCAAACGAAGCCTTACATGATACCGCCCTGACTCGTTGGTCCCCGAGGCAAACAACGTGTTCTGATTTTCACCGTCTTGAACTTGCAGAAGAACATGCCACATCTTGCGGTCCTGCAGGCCGAAAAGAAATCTCACCAGCCCTCTGGGCGTGAATGGTTCTGGGAGTTTCCTCGTTCATCTTCCCTGACTCTTCCCCCTCGGAGAGGCTTTTACCCCTCCCAGCTCCCATGGGCTGCGCTGCACGCTGGAGGAGGAGGAGGAGGAGGAGGAAAAGAAGAAGAAGAAGAAGGACGAGAAAACAGATAACAAGCAGTAGCCACAGGGGTTCGAAGGATGGCCTGCGCCGTCTTCGTCTTCGAAGGATGGCCTGCGCCGTTTTCGTCCTCATCATCCTCGCACTCGTCGGAATAGTCGAGGCCTGATACTGCTGGACTCCTCGACGCTGGGTTCTCTCCCTCACCTCCGTGGCCTCCCATGGGCCTCCCACGCTCGCATAGAATCTGCAAATCCCTTGCAGAATTGTCGTGTGCCCAGTGTCGGGCCCTTTGGGTTTCAGGCGTCATGGTACCAATGTGCAGGAACTGTGAAAGCACCAGAGCCTGGTGTTGCACAGAGGCACGACATGTAAGCGATGCAATCCGCACGGAGTGCCCTTTGCGGATCGGCCCTGCGAGCAGATTGAGGTCATCGAAAGGCAAAGGGTTTTTGGACGGTGTCTGTTGTCTGCGGGTCTCTTCAGAGCATCGTGCGAGCCTCTTGGGCGTCGTCGGGTCATCTTGGAGAGCCGCTTTCAACGGTCGGGTTAAGGATCCCGTTTGGGGTCCAGGCATCGGGGGCACAGGCCAGATCGTACATGTCAGACCGGAAAGGCGAGTATGATAACATCATACAACATTGTTTTCGATTACACGTAAGAGTGACCATTCGCCGGAGTGACCTTAAGTGTTGGCCCAAAGAGGGTCGGGTGATTTGTCTTGTGGAATGAGCTTGACCTCGCGTCGGCACCCGCATCGCGTGATTACGCTCGCATCTGAGCGCGCCAGGTTTGGGCCCCCACGGGCGCCTCTGAAGCCGCGCACCAAAGGTCACTCTAGCCTAGGGTCACTCCTACGTGTAGTCGATGTTCCTTTGTAGCAGACGCTTTAGGGTTCTAGCAGAGTCCCAAGGTTCTCCCACAGAATCCCTTACATGAGGGTCGCCAGGCACGGTCGCCCAAGATCTGGCTCTGACCCAGCTCCCATCCCCGATCGACATTCTCTGCTTGCCCGCTCGTGGATGTTGCGTCCCAGGTCCAGAACAGTGCGTCCCAGGACAGCCCCAGTTACACCCCTCCCGCTTCCTCCTCAGCATCATCCTCATCATCATCATCATCATCATCATCATCAGCATCATCATCAGTATCATCCTCATCATCAGCAGCAGTGTCAGCATCATCATCATCAGCATCAGCATCAACATCATCATCATCAGCATCATCATCATCAGCATCATCAGCATCATCATTACCAGTACCATTATTATTATCATCAGCATCATCCTTGTCGACCTCAACGGGCTCGCGGGGACGAGCGCTGGTCGGCGCAACCCCGAGCCAGGCCCTTCGTCCTACAGATTGTGCAGTGGAGGCCAGGAGGAGGAGGAGGGGGAAGAGGGAGAGGGAGGAGGAGAGGAAGAGGAGGAGGAGGAGGAGGAGGAGAAGGACGGTGATGGAGGGGCCCGAATCCAAACAAACATTGTCATCCTGATCTTCATTGTTCCCTTGGTCCTCCTCCCCCTCAGGCAACCGAGAGCTCCCGTGCCGTGCGCGGCAGCGAGCGCGATGCGGGGGAGGAGGAAAAGGAGGAGGAGGAGGAGGAGGAGGAGAAGAAGAAGCAGAAGAAGAAGAAGGGATAGGGGAGGAAAGAGGGGGAGAGGGAGGAGGGAGGAGGAGGAGCGAGAGGGAGGAGGAGGAGGAGGAGGAGGAGGAGGAGGAGCAGCAGCAGCAGCAGCAGCAGCAGCAGCAGCAGCAGCAGGCGGAGTAGTAGGAGGAGGAGGAGGAGGAGGAGGAAGAGGGAGGATGAGGAGGGGAAGGACGAGAAGGAGGAGGAGGAGGAGGAGGAAGAGGAGGAGGAGGAGCACGGAGGAGGAGGACGGAGGAGCAGGAGGACGGAGGAGGAGGAGGACGACGACGCCGACGACGACGACGACGACGACGACGACGACGACGACCTCCCTCTTCCGCCGAAGGGGGCGCCCCGAGCGCCCCCCTCCCCCGCTGGCGGCGCCGCGGGCGCCCCGCCATGGACCCGGATCACGCGGACGCGTCCTCCAGCCTGCGCGGCCAGCAGCGGCGCGGCGCCCCCGCGCCCCAGCAGGAGGAGGCGCCCGAGCGCTCCAGGGCGGCGTCGTCGTCCTCCTCCCCCCCTCCCCTCCCCACTCTCTTCCCTCTCCTCTCCACTCTCCCCCGCACCCCTCCTCCTCCCCCCCTCCTCTCCTGTCTTCTACTCCTTTCCTGCTCTTCCTCCTCCTCCTCCTCCTCCTCCTCCTCCTCCTCCTCCTCCTCCTCCCCCTCGTCCTCTTCCTCCGCCTTCCTCCTTCTCATCCCCATTTCTCGCGCGCGAACGCGCAGGGCCGGAGGGAGAAGACGGAGAAGGAGGAGGAGGAGGAGGAGGAGGAGGAGGAGGAGGAGGGGAAGGAGAAGGAGGAGGAGGAGGAGGAGGAGGAGGAGGAGGAGGAGGAGGAGGGGAAGGAGGAGGAGGAGGAGGAGGAGGAGGAGGAGGAGTTGAGGAGGAGGAGGACCAGAGTAAACCCAGGACATTCCCGTCCCAAGTCCCCTCAGCGGAAGTCTGTAAAAGCATGTCTTTTCGCAACGGGGGTGCCTTCCTGAGTGGACGAGCGCCCTGTGTGCTTGCCACTCAGGCGAGAGAACCGCTTCGAAGAGGAATTGCCCTCCATCCTTCCAGCTGGAAGGCAATACATGTGGTTAAGATATCGAAGAACTGTCCGGAGAGAGCACCGCTTTGAAAAAGGAGCTGCGATCCACCCGTGAAACTGTTGCACTGCGGTATGCAGCCTGGGGACGTCTCAAGCGAGAGCCTTACTTTGAAAAGCAGCACCCTTCCATCCGCGCAGCGGGTGCACCACAGCATTGATGGCAGTAGTCTACGGCGAATCTCAAGCGAGATAATCATATTGGCACGGTATTTGTTTCCAAACGTGTAAGGTTGAAGGGTGTTGAGGCACGTGTGGGTTGGGTTCAGGCTAGAGACGCAATTTGAAACCGACGCGCCCTCAATCTGGAAATGCAATGATTGTTGAAGAGACGGATGCGCGTGGGGCTCAGGCGGGAGACACATGTTTAAAGAATACCCGCTCACCATTAGTTTAATTGTTCATATTGTAAAACTTCAGGGCCACAATTGCAGCGAAGTCTCAAACGAAACGGCCAGCCAGTTCTACCAACACGTCTGGCGGCGCGACGAGGAGCAGTTACGCATGAAGAACAGGGATCTGAGGGGAAGTAAAAAGAGGAGGAGGAGGAAGAGGACGAGGACGAGGACGAGGAGGAGGAGGAGGAGGGGGATGACAGGTGAGAATGAGAGGAGGAATACGAGGAAGAGGAGGAGAGGGAAGAAGGCGCAAAAAAACGAGGAGGAGGAGGAGGAGGGACCAGAGCAGACCCAGGATGCATCCACGATGTTGCAGGAAGCCCTCCCTCTCCTCGCCGGCCCCTACAATATATACACGAGGTGCGCCCCTGGAGCGACGCGTGCCCGGTGGGCCTACCCCTCAGGCGAGACCCCGCTTTGCACAGGAGTCACCATCCAGACTTCTTTTACATCTATATATACATAGATAATACAGTACATCTATAGATGGAAACGTAGATCTATAGATTAGACATCGATACATACATATATAGATACTATAATAGATCTATAGATAATGCATAGATCGTATAATACATCTATCGATACTACATAGATACATACATATAGCTATATATACGTAGGAGTAACCATCCAGATTTCTTTTACATCTATAGATACATATACAGATACGTATGCTTAATAACGACAAATATTTGAGGTGGGATGATGAACAGCATGAGGAGTGTCCAGCAATAGCCCTGTGTCGAAGAGGGCCTGGCCTCTTCCGCCGGAGCGTTGCGCGAGATTCAAGCCATGGCCGCACGGTTCGCAGAGGCTTTCTGTGAGAGTCCCATCCTGAAAATGTGGCGCCTTCAATTCGTGTAGCTGTTCCTGGCAATTTCGGGACAGAATGTGCAACTATCTATAAAGCGAGAGCCACGTTCTGTTGAAAACGAATCGGTCTCCACCATTATAACAAATGGAACGGTACCAAAAAAACTGAAAAAAAGATCCAACCATATGCAGCTGCGAGTACCGCATTGTGGGTACCACTTTCGATGGAGCGCCTTATGGGGCCACGAACCGTGTAAGGGGCGTGCCGAATTGAGAGTGGTGGTGCCATGCGAACCATCCCGCTGGAGCCTTCGGTGGAACATCCTCTGGGGCCACGAGACGAGTGAGTGGGTGTACCGTATTGGGCGCGGTGGTGCCATGCGAACCATCCCATTGGAGCCTTCGGCGGAACTCCTTACGGGGCCACGAACAGTGCGAGGGGTGTGCTGGATCGAGCGCGGTGGTGTCATGCGAACACTCCCATTGGAGCTTTCTGTGGAGCTCCCTATGGGACCACGAACCGTGTGGGGGGTGTGCCGAATTGGGTGCGGTGGCGCCATGCGAACCCTCCCACTGGAGCCTTCGGTAGAGCTCCCTATGGGGCCACGAACCGTTTGAGGGGTGTGCCGAAATGGGCCATGCGGACGCGGCCATTGGGGCCTTCGGTGGAGCTCCCTACGGGGCCACCAACCGTGTGAGGGGTGTGCCGAAATCAGCGTGCGGTGGGCGGGGAGGACGCATGCGGACGCGGCCATTGGGGCCTTCGGTGGATCTCCTTATGGGGCCACGAGCCGTGTGACGGATGTGCCAGAATGGACATGCGGTGGGCGGGGAGGGCGCATGCAGCCGCGGCCATTGGAGCCTTCGGTGGAGCTCCCTACGGGGCCACCAACCGTGTGAGGGGTGTGCCGAAATGGGCAAGCGGTGGGTGGAGAGGGCGCATGCGGACGCGGCCATTGGGGCCTTCGGTGGAGCTCCCTATGGGGCCACCAGCCGTGTGAGGGGTACATGCGGTGGGCGGGGAGGACGCAAGCGGACGCGGCCACTGGGGCCTTCGGTGGGGCCACGAACCGTGTGAGGGGTGCGCCGAAATGGGCATGCGGTGGACGGGGAGGGCGCATGCAGACGCGGCCACTAGGGCCTTCGGTGGAGCTCCCTATGGGGTCACGAACCGTGTAAGGGGTGCGCCGAAATGAGGGTGGAACTGCATGGGGCCACGAACCGTATGAGGGGTGCGCCGAGGTGAGGGTGGAACTGCATGCGAACCCTGCCAATGGAGCATTCGAAGGAGTTCCCTATCGGGCCACGAAGGGTGCGCCGAAATAAAGGTGGACCTGCATTCGAACCCTACCGCTGGGGCCTTCGGTGGAGCTCCCTATGGGGCCACGAGCCGTGTGAGGGGTGCGCCGAAATGAGGGTGGAATTGCACGCGAACCTTGCCATTGAGGCATTCGGTGGAGCTTCCTATGGGGCCACCAACCGTGTGAGGGGTGTGCCGAATTGAGGGTGGAACTGCATGCGAACCTTGCCACTGAGGCAGTCGGTGGAGCTCGTTATGGGGCCACGAGCCGTGTGAGGGGTGCGCCGAAGTGAGGGTAGAACTGCACTCGAACCCTGCCAATGGGGCCTTCGGTGGAGCTCCCTATGGGGCCACGAACAATGTGAGAGGGGCACCGAAATGGGGGCGGAACTGCATGCGAACCCTGCCGCTGTGGCCTTCGGTGGAGCTCCCTATGGGGCCACGAGCCGTGTGAGGGGTGCGCCAAAATGAGGGTGGAACTGCATGCGAACCCTGCCGTTGGGGCCTTCGGTGGAGCTCCCTGTGGAGCCACGAACCGTGTGAGGGGTGCTGTCCGCCGAAATGAGGGTGGAACTGCACGCGAACCTTGCCATTGAGGTATTGGGTGGAGCTTCCTATGGGGCCATGAACCGTGTGAGGGGTGTGCCGAAATGAGGGTGGAACTGCATGAGAACCTTGCCACTGAGGCAGTCGGTGGAGCTCCTTATGGGGCCACGAACCGTGTGAGGGGTGCGCCGAAACGAGGGTAGAACTGCATGCGAAACCTGCCAATGGGGCCTTCGGTGGAGCTCCCTATGGGGCCACGAACAATGTGAGAGGGGCACCGAAATGGAGGCGGAACTGCATGCGAACCCTGTGGCTGTGGCTTTCGGTGGAGCTCCCTATGGAGCCACGAACCGTGTGAGGGGTGCGCCGAAATGAGGGTGGAATTGCACGCGAACCCAACCGCTGGGGCTTTCGGTGGAGCTCCTATGGGGCCACGAACCGTGTGAGGGGTGCGCCGAAATGAGGGTGGAATCGCATGCGAACCCTGCCGTTGGGGCCTTCGGTGGGGCTCCCTATGGAGCCATTAGCCGTGTGAGGGGTGCGCCGAAATGAGGGTGTATCTGCATGCGAACCCTGCCAATGGGGCCTTCGGTGGAGCTCCCTATGTGGCCACGAACCGTGTGATGGCGTGCAGAAATGGGCGGGGAACGATGACGATGATGGTAATGATGACGGCCGTAATGGTGATGACGACGGTATGACGGGGACGAGCTTGATGATGATGATGATGATGATTATGATGATGATTCTGATGATGATTCTGATGATGATGATGATGATGATGATGATGATGATGATGATGATGATGATGATGATGATGTGATGATGATGGTGAGCTGAAGAGGATGGGGATGACGGTGCGGATGACGATGAGGATGAGGATGAGAGTGAGGATGAGGATGAGGATGAGGAGGGAGGAGGGGGAGGAGGAAGGAGAGGAGGTGGACGCGGGGCGCTGTCTCTTCAAATCGATGGCCCGGCACAGGATGATTGGGAATCAAATAAAAATCGTTTGTTGTTAAGAATTGCAGCGGGCGTTTTTTGTTGAGAAAAACAAGAGGGAGAACGCGTGCGGCGCTAAGGCGAGCGCCGCACTTGGGAAACCTGTGTCTCTCCATCCTTGCAACTGAACTGTTGGAGCTTGCTTGGCTTCAGCGCATCCAGTCACAAGGAAGGAGGCGAAACGCCCGGCCTGGCCTGCACACACGTCTGGTGGCGCGACGGGGGGGAGCCATTTACAAGGAAAGGATGAGGAAGTGGAGGACGAAAAGGAGGAGGAGGAGGAGGAGGATCGGGGAGGTGTTTGGAGAGTCCACGCGGCGAGTATCAG